TCGGAAGCCTCGAAAAGTCCTCAAAACACCAAGAAATCCAATCAGCTGTCAAGGAAACGTCTTTAATTCCCTCATCAATACACACTTTATAAGTTGACGGCATTGAAACTTGTTCTTTGAATAAATTGTGACCACCCTTGTTATGCATGATACGTCTGGCACTGATTAGTTTCTCATAATTGACTCTCATTTTTGTTAGAAGAGGCATGGAATCATTGTAGGGTTCAGGTAAGACCAGCAGGAGTGAGGATTCAGAATTTGAAGACGTGTCTGGGACGTCCTCTGTATTGGAGCCGATTTTCAGTTGAACACCCATTGGATTCATTCCAACTTGAAGGCATTTTGAGAATCGGCAAGAACGACACATGCAGCGAACACCTGGAAAAATAGGGATTGTTACTGAAACTTGAGTAGTGACGACTTCAGAAAACCTTTAAAGAATTCTTATCTTCAAGAAGTTCTTGCCCAAAACTCTGGCTTGTATGGTTATTGAATTCTATATCATTTTGTATAGTTTTTCAAGACTTAGATTTTACTGTTTAAAGTATTCTAAAATAATCACTACCGGCTGAGTCACGCGGTTACATTCGATGCTTACCGCTGTTCTTGCTCAAACTGCACTCTACACTTTAGAAGCTTTTACTTACTCTAATGCTTATAGGACTTTATTGTAATTTATATGGTTTTGTAGAGCTTTTTGAGACACTACTGGTTCTAGCGATCAGTGTTTTTGCAAATTCTCATAAAAGAAGTAGGAAACACTCAAATGATTAAATTTTTAGATACCGTAAAACCTCTAATAGAACGATGACCAATTGGCTGAAATGGGGTCCTATCGCATCTGACTCTTCATTCGTTGCACCGGCTGGAGGTAAATGTTTCTAGCCACTCTAGAAACAGGAACTGCTTCTGTAGCTTCCGGTGTCCTCCTTGTGGTGGCATCATCGGCTCCGTGGTGGTGGCATCATCACCGTGGATTTTACCCTAGGTGTAGGGTATTCCTCGCTCTCTTCGTCGAAAAGGATCCTCTGCTCCGTATATCCCGCGAATCGGAAAAATCTAAATTTTTTTTAAATCAAAAATTCGAAAAACTTACATTCATAACCTCGATTTCGGCAGTCTTTAGAACCGTGAATAGAAAAATTGTTTTTTTGAAGCTTGAAAATTAAACTTA